AAATGACGCGGGCTGGTGAAAGCCTTCGGGAAGCCAGTCAGCCGATGTGCCTTCTTTCGATGAAAGCGAAAATAAGGATGGGGACGTGGAATGTTCGTACAATGTACGAAGCTGGGAAGGCTGCTCAGGTAGCCGCAGAAATGAGGAGATATAGAATAGAAGTGTTGGGAATCTGCGAGAGCAGATGGAACGGATGTGGAAGGAGCCAACTATCAACTGGAGAGACAATAATCTACTCCGGTCACCCAGAGGACAATCACGAGCACACCGAGGGAGTAGCCATCATGATGTCACCAACAGCAGCTAAAGCTCTCATGCAGTGGGAACCAATCTCCTCCAGGATAATGACAGCCAGGTTCAACTCAAAAGGAAAGAAGGTTACAATCATTCAGTGCTACGCGCCTACAAACGCCTCAGAACATGAGAAGAAGGAGGATTTCTACAGTCAACTACAAACAGTAATGGACAACTTCCCAAATGGCGATATCAAAATCCTGATGGGCGACATGAATGCGAAACTGGGAGGAGACAATACAGGAAGAGAACTCACCATGGGTCGTGAGGCCCTCGGTGAAATGAACGAAAATGGTGAACTCTTCTCAGACTTCTGCGCCTTCAATGATTTGGTGATTGGTGGCAGTGTGTTCAAACACAGGGATATACACAAGGCAACATGGATTTCACCAGATGGACACACCAAAAACCAGATAGACTTCATTTCAATCGCAAGGAAGTGGAGACGGAGCCTACTGAACACAAGATCAAAGAGAGGAGCAGATGTGGGTTCAGACCACTATCTAGTACAAGGGACTTTCAAGGTGAAGCTGAAAGCCTCGAGGATACCTGGGGATAGGCCACAATGCAAGTTCAACACTCACAAACTGAAGGACACAATCACACAGGACATTTTCACTGCAACTGTCAGAGCAAAGCAGGAAACACTACGTGGCACCACTGAGGAATCATCCGTGGAAGACCATTGGAACTCTCTGAAGGTAATTTTCAACGAAACGTGCTCAACGGTTTTAGGAAGAAAGAAGAAACAAGACAAGGAATGGCTCTCAACAGACACTTGGAAACTAATAGAGGAGAGGAGAAAAGTGAAAGAGAAAATGATTCAATGCAAAGATGGACAAGAGAAAGAGACGCTGAACTCAACTTACACAGCACTGGACAAAGAAGTGAAGAAGAGTGCCAGGAAGGACAAAAGACAATTCTACGACAACCTGGCTACTGAAGCTGAGAAGGCAGCAGGCAAAAGGGACCTGAGGACACTATATCAGATAACCAAGTCTCTATCCGGGAAGAGATCAACACAAGTGAAACCTATAAAAGACAACCAAGGGAACCCAATTACCAAAGAAGAAAGACAGATTAAACAATGGGCGGACCACTTCAAAGGACTCTTGAACCGACCACCACCTACAACCTGTCCAGTAATACCAACAACAGCACGTACACAACTGCAAGTTGACACCAATCCTCCAACGAAAGCTGAAGTCATGAATGCGATCAAGCTTCTGAAAGCTGGAAAAGCAGCTGGACCAGATGGAATACCCCCGGAAGCACTGAAAGCGGACCCAGAAACGACGGCAGATATGCTGACCCCATTATTGCAAAAGATCTGGAAAGAGGGAAAGGTGCCTACTGACTGGAGGAAAGGTTACCTGGTGAAACTACCAAAGAAGGGCGACCTGGGACTCTGCAAGAACTGGAGAGGAATCATGCTCCTGTCGACGCCAAGTAAAATCCTGAGTCACATCATCCTGGAGAGAATCAAGGACACACTGGATACAGAACTCCGACCAGAACAAGCGGGATTCAGGAAAGGCAAATCATGTTCTGACCAAATTGCAACTCTACGCATTATCATCGAACAAAGCATGGAATGGCAATCAAACCTCTATCTCAACTTTATAGACTTTGAGAAGGCCTTCGACAGCGTTGACCGCGAAGTAATTTGGAAACTACTCGAGTACTACGGCGTACCGCAAATATTCATCAACCTTATTCAACAACTGTACGACAACGGCACATGTCAAGTGATCCACAACGGAAAACTCAGCGAAGCGTTTGGAGTAAACACAGGAGTCAGACAAGGGTGCTTATTATCACCAATGATATTCCTAATTGTGGTGGACTGGATTATGCGTCAGACAGTGGGAAACGAGAAGACAGGGATATCCTGGACCGACGTGAAGAACCTAGAAGACCTGGATTTTGCGGATGATTTATGTTTGATGTCACACAAAATCGAAGACTTACAAGCAAAAACCGACAAACTGGTCGAAGAAGCAGCAAAGACAGGACTCCAGGTGAACATAGACAAGACGGAGGTTATGAAAATAACCAACCAACAACAGCAGCAACATCCAGTGTCAATCACCATCAACGGGAGGGATTTAAAAGAGGTTACTTCTTTCACTTATCTGGGGAGCATTGTCTCAACCACAGGAGGAACGGACGAGGATGTCAAATCGAGAATCGGGAAGGCGAGAAACACATTCCTCAACCTGAAACCAATCTGGAAATCTTCGTCACTCAGTATCAACAACAAAATTCGGATTTTCAATACAAACGTCAAGTCAATTTTGCTTTACGGATCAGAAACTTGGCGGGTCACCAAGAATATTTTCAACAGGTTGCAGACCTTTATCAACAACTGTCTTCGCTCCATACTGAAGATTAGATGGCCAGAAAGAATCACAAACAAGAAGCTATGGGAACAAACAAAACAGGAACCAATCGCCCAACAAATATGCAGGAGGAAGTGGAGATGGATTGGACACTCGCTGAGGAGGCCGTTGAGTGACATCGCGCGTCAAGCCCTCGAGTGGAACCCGAGAGGGAAGCGGCGAGTGGGACGTCCAAGGGTGACATGGAGGAGATCGTGTGAGGAGGAGATGAAACAGTATGGAATAACATGGACGCAAGTGAAAAGAACAGCAGAAGACAGAAGCAAGTGGAGACGTGCAGTTGAAGCCCTATGTTCCACTAGGAACCCAAGGGAACAATAATAATAATAATAATACTGATGACTACCAGCAGCACCTAACTTCACTCGACCCCGAAGATAAAATAATTAGCAAAAATGAACTATGATAGACGGTGAGTAAGTCAACAATCTATTATCCAACAAGTATGCAGAAGACAATTTAGGTGGATTGGATATACGCTGCGGAAACAACTGAGTGACATCACACAGCAGTACCTCAAATAAAAAAAACTGCTAGTTTAGTGTGGTAATGACTGTCACATCGAGTAGATCATGTAGAGGTGAAATGACAGCTTGTAGGCAGTCGTGTTGCCAGCTTAACAAGGTAGAGGAGAATTGATTGACAATATCAAATCAGTCAACTTGGTTCATAGATCTAAATTTGAAGTTACGCTGAACCAGTAAGAAAAACAGGTTGAAGTTCAGAGGCATATTTAAGAAAAATATACGCATCAATATAAGACTAAACTGGATACGAAGGGAGTAGAATGGTCAAGAGAATAGAGAAAAATTCTTGTATATATATCAAGATGAAGCCTCTGTATATACAAGACTACAATTCGAAGGTGATATAGCAAGAGAAGTAATAACCAACAAGTTGAGAAAACCGATTCAAAGAACTGTTAGTGCCGGTAAGCTCCAGCTCATATTTTTCACACCACTGGTTGTGATTCCGAGACTGAAAGGTGGAGTACCTACCTAGGCTAGTTAACCTATATTGTATCTATCAGTTCAACTGCTCGTACATAGCGAATTATACTGGACATTGCTCTAGGAACGTCATTTCCGCACCTCGGGAACACCCACCAGTGTTCTGCCTAAATAAAGGTGTTGGTAAAACCATCAACAGTTATATATTTATAAGATCAACTTCATCCGAATGCGCCACAAAGCTAACATTTAAGAATCTTTCTCTATCATCTATCGTGTATAGAATAAGTTATCTAAGGCTTCTACATACCGAATACGCCAAATATTATAGAGGTTAGTGCGATTCGCTCAAGTTAACTGGAGCTCTGTGTGCAAACAAGGCGTCAGTGAGCCGCTATTGCCACCCTGGTCTGTTATTGAACTTATAAATTCAAAAGTTCTGTGTTACTTCCCCTAATATATCTGATATTCAGTTCGGTGTTGTTATATCAAAGCTTATTATCTCTGTTTTACTGATGCTTTTGAATTGCAACTATCCATTGTTATTGTTAATGCAGTGTAGTTTGAAACAGCGTTGACGGTGTTAATATCAATAATCCTTCGACAATTAATAAGGATATACAACTGTGAAACCTGATGAAGAAGTTATCGAATCAAATAATCTTTGTTTCTCTAATCTATCTTTTAAATCATTATATTATTTTAATTATTTGATCAGAACAGTATTGTGTTGTCTAACCACAAAGAGCCACACTCCTCTAACTTACTCACTCACTCACTAAATCCAAAATTTCATCATACAACTAACCATAAGAAAATGAATTCTTTGGATATTTAAAGAAACAGTTCACACATTGAGTACTTTTAGTATATGGTATGTGATTGTGATTGTGATTGCGGAGGTGATACACGCATTAGATGAGATTACTTGTCTAGAGATTACACATATTTATCTTATGACTTACATATGGCTGCTTTACTTTTTTATTTCTTTAGTTTTAATTACCATTTGGAATAGGTAGTTCCAACTGAGTAAATCTGAGTATTTCTCAGTTATGAAATGCAGTCTTAAGAAAACAACAAAACTACTATTATTATCATCATCACTTCTTAAGATCTGATGAATATTATGGTATGCTGTTTCCTTTATACACTAAGATACACTTGTGACCCTATGCTTGTAATCAATAGTTAACTTTAGTTATTTATTTTATCCAACCACTTATACGGTACAGTGTTTGTGTCAGCACAACAAAATGTCTGCATGAGCATATATATACATAACATTGAGCACATTCCATGCTTAGACTTCTCCTTTTTCTCAATTAACCAACACACTGAGTGTTAGCTCAAAATGGTTCAATTTTCCATATCACAGATTAAAAATATCAAAAATAAATCCTGTTTATTCCCACTTGTGTTCTTCTCTGCTGCAGCGGTTATCACCTTCGTTGTATTGATTATCTACCTTCAATTTAAACCGAAATCACGTGAGTTCATTACAACATTGATGGGCATAATTTGACAATATCCTGGTGGGAAGGGGTTATCTTTACATAGTATTAAAATATTATTCCCGTGTTGTCCAAATTGTTTTCATTGTTGAACTGTCCTTCTTAGTGAGGGATATTAGACTTATTTTTTTTAAACTGACGCAATTTTAAGTAATATTGATTTAAAGAAAATAGTTGACCAGACTTTCAACACCGATCAACATCAATAGGAGAACTCTAACGGACGTCATCAAAGCAGCAATAATTAATATATACGGGGACACAGACAATTATGTCGAAACCAGTCAGGATCGGGAAAGCAAGACAGACCTTCGTTACCGTGAATTCAGTCAGTGGATAAATTTACTTTCCTAAGCATAAAGAACAAAATTTAGATTTTCAGCATTAATTTCAAGTAAGTCACTGCTTGAATGTGGTTCAGAGACTTGGCATGTGCGTCATTGGAAGCATTTCTAACAAGCTTGTGCAGAATTACATCGTCAGTCGCCTTCCCTCCAGAAAGGTTCAGCAACATGAAATTCTGGCAATGAATCAATCAGTGATGTGTTGACTAAAACGAAATGTCAAAGGAAATACAGATGTTTTGGACTTACGGTGATGAGATCATCTGTGAAATCATACTCTAGACAGGCTTTCCAGTGGAATATGAATAGGAAACGACAAAGGTGACATGGAAGAGATCGTGTCATGTAGATATGAGAGTCTTTTGGCAATTGTGGAGTCAACTGAAAAGTATTGCAGAGGACAGAGTGGAATGATGCTGTTCTACTTGAATCCCAAGGAAATAGTTATGATAATAATCTGCCTTATTCCGAAAACAGCACTTATGATACAAGTGCCTCGCCTGAGGATTCACAAGACGAGATCTATGAGCACAGTGAATACTCACAGTCTGATAAAATTCGATTAGCAAATTTATTGCATGAAATTAAGAATTAAAGAAGAATAGGCAAGATGCCCGAGTTGAAAACTGTTAGAGGAAGAGTTGAGTTATGCCTGAGTGCCTTAACTTCCCAGTGTAAAATGTTTTAGAGATCGCTAAGACATGTGAAAATCAGGATACATCCAAAGAAATAATTAGTCCAAGATATTTAAGGTCAGACTTGATTTCTCTATCACTATCATCAATTTTACAACAGTCACAGGAATTAACAGTAACAAATTAACCGTTGTACTTATTTCCTTTCATCATCTTGTGCATTCCTTTAGTTGTTTTATAAAATTATCCGACACATACCTCTATGAGTGATGGCACTCCCCATATGAGTTGAGCATATCATCCAAAATATCAAACGTCTAAGTGTTAGGCATCTGATTACTAGTAGGACATGTGATATGCATAATATGCAACAAACATCCTTATCTATTAGTTTATACTTGCGTCGTTGGCACAGTGTATAGGACTCTCGCCGACCATGCACATGGACCGGGGTTCGATCCCCTGCTGGCACACCCGATATCTATGGTCGGCCTGAATTTAGGCTACCGATATCCATGCTGAAAATTCCACACTCGTACTGAAAATACGGTGTGGAATCAAGCTGTAAATCAAAATAATAAAAAAATTAAATTGATTTTTTGTCAACACTTCTGAACAAGCAATATGATTTGGCAAAATGAGGCAATATACAGCCACCTTCTTAAAGATCCTATTTCTGTGTTATATATCTATATAAATATCAGTTTGATGGCCAAACTGTCCTTCTTAGTGGGAGACATCGCATTTACCCCGAAAACTGACGCAATTTAAGTTATGTTGATTCGTGAAAACATGTTAACAGTTTTTCATTACCGTGCTGTTAGTGAGTATCACGACTTTCTGACGAAGCTTACTCATGAGCAGTCATCGAATCAGAACAACAGATTACATTGTGAAACCTTAGGGGAATTAGTTGGTTTTGATAACTGTTTTGTTAGCTAAGAAGCAATCCATGGTATGCAGTAAATCTAGGCTACATTTCACCTCAGATGCAATTAACCTCTGGTGATGATACTTTCATATCTGTGGTATATTTTGGAATTGTAGTTGAAAAGGAAAATGGTACGATGTACTTACAACTTTGAAAACTCAAGCTGTCTTTATAAGCATAATAAGGCGAGGTCACAATTCAAAAGAGTGACCTGTTTCGTGGATTAGCAAAATATGGTTGCTTTATTGTTACCAACCCTGATGAGGTGACCAGTTAAATGCACTTTTTCTTTTCTGAGGATGGTAATAAAGTGAAACAAAGCTTTCTGGCGAATTTTTTAGATGAAAATATACTATGTCAAACATCCAATACGGTTTTTTCTTCAATCACTATCATTATTTATTATTATTCTCTTAGATACCAAGTGGAGCACAGAGCTTTGAACTGTTCTCTGCATTCATCTTCAGTTAGCTCCATGACTGCTCATTGGCTTTCATTTCCCTCTGTTGTCTTGTAGTTGAAAGCGTGCTTCCTAGATAAGGGAAGAGAGTGACCTCTTTAAAATTTCTCCGGTGAATAGTGACTGGTGCTGTTTGTTGTTGATGTCGCTGTTATTTGCTTATCTTCATTAACTCTGTCTTCTCTGTGTTTACTTGAAGTCATGTCTTTGCTTACATCGTCTTCTGTCAACTGGTTCGTTTTCTCATCTAAGTCTTCGAATTCATGCGATGTTTGAAATTAATAATTGGTGAAGTCCAGGTCATCTTCTACTGATTGTTTTTGCATAATGATTGGTTTTAAATCTTTTTTCCTTCATGTTCCCCAGTGGAACACAGAGCTTCAAGCTAGTGGCTTTAAGTTTCTTTGGCAGTGTTTATTTTACACAATGGGGTTGCTAGCCTCATGCCCAACCTTTCCTCTTCACCAGCATTATTTCTGGCCTAGCAAGGTAAAGGAGTCAGTCGGCCGGGGATCGAACCCCGGACCATGTGCATGGTCGGCGAGCGTCCTAACCACTATGCCATCGACGCATATTCACCGATAATTCATGATACGCAACAGTATGTGAGGTATCCAGTCTAATAATCAGTTTTGTTTTGAAGGAATATTTTTTTCGGTTGGCGACAAGTTTTTTATTATAATTTATAGCCTACCTTTTGAATGAAACATAAGATTTCACCAGCATATCTCTATTTCACGCTATTCTCTGTAGTCAATTTCCACTAGCTCCAGTATCAAATAAAGTATAATTATATTTCAATAGTTTACACACAATGATAAGTTTTGTTTTTGGTAATATTTCGAGCGAAATTGCTGCCCGTGTTCACACCACTTTTGGAATTGTTTTGAAATATAACTGAAATATAATTATACTTTATTTGATCTATTCCACAATGCTTAAACGTTTTACTGACATTAGCTCCAGTATTGTCCACAAGTTCTCGTTTTCCTTTCATATAGTCCACTGAATGTCACTTTTGGACGCCTGACTCGTAGTTTCCTATTCAGCTTGCATTAACTTCAGCAGTTAACTTCACTCTCAAGCATCGACGTGACATACATGAACTAGTTAGTTCCCATGATGCCTGTAGCACAGATGGCACTAAAATTGACACCAAGTCAAGCATCGAATACCTTGGATTAGTTCTTTCCTCTGACCTTTCACGGTCATCCCATATCTTGTCAGTCTCTAAGAAAATGATTCGTCTCACCTTCCATATTAAGAAGCTAGGACACCCAGTTATCAACAAACGTTTACTTCTGCATTTTGTATGCTCCCGTATTTTACCTACTGTATTCTATTACTTTCCATTAACCTTTCCTGGGCTTCTCAAAAAAAGCTATATCATATTACGAAGGGTATTAAATGCTGTGAGTAGGGCTTGTGGTATGCCACTGTGAGCTCGCCAATATTATAGTCATGGGACATATAAAATCCTGTACAAAATGGGCAGAGGCCGTACTCCCTCCCTTTATTCACAACTATCCCCTGGCATATTTTCAGGTTGGACGAAAAGTCAATATAAGAAGTTATATGCTCGAACCACTGAGTACAAAAATTCCACAATACCCTATTTATCCCGTATTTTATGTGATGGAGACACTGTTAGACGTGAAACATATGTTACTATGCAATTAGAAAAGTGAATCGATCCTTTCATTGCTCATCTTTCTGTAATTTTATGGTGTCACCGTTTCTATCATTTAATTATAACTTAGTTATTTCATTTTAGTTGGTATTACGATTATTACTACAATTTTATACCTTATGCATATTTTTCTCATTATCGCATACTGTAATTGCTGCATAGCTGCTATAACAACGTTTTGTTATTGTTATTATGTAACGTTTATTTTTTGCCATTTTGAGTAAATTAGATGCAATATTGAACTGGATGCCAAAAATTCCTTGCTGTATCATTAGTAAGGTTTTTGGAATAAAGCAAAAATTATTACTATTATTATTATTGAAGGTCGTTCTTCACCTATGACGTCGCTTGTCAGTCTTCTCTGAATATCTCCAGCCCACTTCCATTTCTTTCTGTATGTCTGTTGGATAATAAGTTGTTGACTGACACAGTGTAAGAGTACCTTCTTACTTTTCGTTCGGGTGAGCCATCCGATCTTCATCATGGATGTAGATATGTGCTGATGAACGCTTGCAACAGGCTATTTGAATTGCTTTTGAAGAAGCACTCACCATATCTCTCAAACATTTGGGAGAATCGGTTTCGTATCATTGTTAAAACTCAAAACTTGTTCGGTTTTACTGACATCTGTAAATATCTAAACTGTTTCCACAGTAATAAATATTTGACTTCAGCTTCCTTATCCATGCCACCTGTAGTTTAAACAATGCTGTCCATAAGACAGATTTGTCCTCATAACTTAATTGGGCTATCACTTCACAATCATGTAGTTTATTTTTACATTAGCGAAAAAAGAACACTACGATCTTGTATCACGAAAATCGGCGAGTACTTTCTGGTTCTAACTTTGATGATATGAATAGCACAACTTGTGCATTTTCAAATAAATCAAGAAGAGTTTATATCGAATTGAGTAGTATTGTCGCTTATTTCGTTGACCTGTCATTAACTGCGTACAATCAAAAGAAATTCCCAGGTTTATACACACAACAGTTTCGACAGACGTGCAAATGTTACATGATGCCTGTTGACAGGAGACTTCAAACTAAATAAACTAAATAAATTTTTTTCGGCCGATACTTACAGAGTTCATTTGCAAACAAAAATAAATGGTGATACAATGGTCAAGTGTTTGGTAATCAAGAGAAGAGGTGGAAGCCATGATGAGTAACTAACACCTTCAAACAAACACTTTCGGTAGTGTTACTGCCAAGCATCTCATTTACCAAGGTCGTAAGATGGACATCTGGACATTCTTTAACATTGTCAGTAGACCAAATAGTTCAATTCTCATCAAGACGCCAGAAACCTGGTTTATGTGTATTCAGAAAAAAACAGTTGTCAGTCCTTGCTTGCTTTGGTAACGTGATGTCTTTATAATCACTTTCATTCGATCACATAATCTCTGTCTCTAACCTCTCCTCCCTTTGATAGAGCGTAACTCTTTTTGTCTCTTGTTTCTGAGATTTGAGTTAAACTCAGCACATTACTACTCAATTTATTAGTTGCTCATCATCTTACTCACCTCTTGTCATGTCTGCCTAACTCTTTCACCATTTTGTCCGAGCATTCATTCTTGTTTAAACTTGAACTCTCTGGATATCAGCTGCATAAATGTAATTTTTGAGAGCTGTTTATTAAGTTGAGAGTCTCTCGTCAACAGGCATCATGTAAAATTTGCAAGTGATTTGGAATTGTTCCATACATAAATTTAGTATTTACTTCAGGTTGTACGCAGCTGACAATAGGCGAACAAAAACGTTATCGCTGCATTACCCGAATTCATAATAACAGGATAAGCGTATTATTATTATTTCCTTTAGTTCCTAGAGGAACATAGGGCTTCAGCCATGCGTCTCCATTGCGTTCGGTTCTCTGCTAGAGTTTTCACCTGGCTCCAAGTCTGCCCATTCGCTTTCAATTCTTCTTCACATGATCTCCCCCAGGTCACCCTTGGACGACCAACTCGTCGCTTCCCTTTCGGGTTCCACTCGAGGGCTTGTCTAGTGATGTCACTTGCTGGTTTCCTCAGAGTGTGGCCAATCCATCTCCATTTCTTCCTGACTATTTGTTTCACGATCGGTTCCTGGTTGGTTCGCTCCCAGAGATCTTTGTTGCTGATCCTTTCCGGCCATCTGATCTTGAGTATTGAGCGAAGACATCTGTTAATGGAGGTCTGTAGCTTGTTTGAGGTGCTCTTTGTGACACGCCAAGTCTCTGATCCGTATAGCAGTACTGACTTCACATTGGAGTTGAAAATCCCGATCTTATTTTTGACGCTGAATGATGTTGACCTCCACACAGACTTGAGAGTAATGAAAGCTTGCCTTGCTTTCCCGATCCTTGCTTTGATATCCTCGTCAGTTCCTCCTGTAGTTGAAACAATGCTTCCCAAGTAGGTAAAGGAGGTAGTTTCTTTCAGGTTTCTCCCATTTATGCTGATTGTTGTCTGTTGTTGTTGCTGTGGCTGTTGGTGTTGGCCAGGAATCTTCATCACCTCAGTTTTCTCTATGTTCACCTGGAGTCCTATCTTTGATGCTTCTTCTGCCAACTTGTTACTTTTCACTTGCATATCTTCCAGTTGTGGGAAATCAGACATATATCATCGGCGAAGTCCAGATCCTCCAAGTTCTTTGTGTGAGTCCATTTTACGCCTGTTTCCTCATTGCTCGCTGTTTGTCGCATTATCCAATCTACTGCAATCAGGAAAATCATTGGCGATAGTAGGCAACCCTGTCTTACTCCTGTCTTCACTTCGAAGGATTCCGTGAGCTTCCCGTTGTGGATTACTTGGCATGCAGCGTTGTCATACAACTGTTGGATGAGATGTATAATTGTCGGCGGCACCCCGTAGTAGCGAAGTAGTTTCCAAATCACCTCTCGATCGGCGCTGTTGAAGGCCTTTTCAAAGTCGATGAAGTTGAGATAGAGAGGTGACTGCGTACGAAATGTATAATTTGACAAGAGTTTTAGAAAGCGATGGTTTAATGTTCTTTGAAAACAGACACAGTTATGCTTTCACAGTGGACGCACAATTCTTATTTGTTTTACACCCCGTTTAGGGAATCCTCTCTGCATATTCTCAGACTGTTTAGGCATATCTTCGTTTCCACTCAAAATGTATGTGAGAAATATTCAAGTGATTGTGTTTCAACGTTGATCTGCGAGAAAAGCAGTTGAATAAAGAAACTCTTCTCTGTGAAATGTTGGTTCGCCTTGCTGTATAATTGCATATATATATATTCCGAGGAAACCTGTTTGGAAGAAGATTGGAACCCTTTGAAGTTGATGTTCAAGGAAACATGTACAACTGTTCTAGAAAGAAAGAAGAGACATAAAGAGGAATGGATTGCAACGGACAAGTACATTGATGAGAAAAGTCAACAATTTACTCCAAAGTGGGCGGCAGTATTCCGAGTGTATAACTATCCTGTGCACTTGAATCGCCTGAAATATCTTTCCACAGCTGACGTGTTTTCAATGCATGAGTTGTGAAACATTCTCTGTGAGGTAATTACTGCATCATTTCTCAGTGGTTTTTAAGTGCATACACCATAGAAGGAGTAAATCCAGTTGTGATAGGCTTCATTTGTGCGCTTTTTAGATATGGTGAGAATGCAGGCGTGAACCGATTATCAACAAGTGTGTCGACCCATCGATGGATGGCACCAACTGATTCACCTTTGAGAATTCAGTTGACATTTTCATGTTTTCTTTGTTCATTTCTTAGTCCACAATTCCTTTCTTCTCTGCTCTCCTTTCTTTTTTTGTTTACATTCTACTTTTACTCTCATGCCAGTGTGTATATTTCTCCTTTTTAGCCGTCTCTGTGCGACAGAGTTATAACCTTACAAACGCTTCTAGTCTCATCGACCCATGTTATGACTTCTATAAATATGCCTGCTCTGATTGGGAAAATAATCACGTCATTCCGGAAGGCGATTTGGAAATAACGGCGATTACGCAAATCACAGAGAAAACACTTCGTGACATCTGGAAAATCATTGGTAAGGAAAATATATTTCGTACTGAACCTTTAATCGTGATATTATTAATCTCATGGATTCCAAGGAGAATAAAGTGCTGCAGTAGCACATATATATCTCATCTTTCCATAAACATGTTATACTCGACAACCTTTTCGGAGAGCTTTTTCAGTAGAACATCTTCACAGTGTGTAACCAGTGCATCTTTATTTTCTTTCGCACATTGGTTCAGTGATTGTTTGTTGGATCGTCGCCTGTCAGAATTCTTTGTTTCTAATCCCTCTTGGTGGGTCATATTAATCTTCAGTAGAGTGTGGAGACATGTTTATTGAATGATTTCGACGAGCATATATCAAAGTACGCTTCATCCAACAAAAGAAGTAACATCTTTATGAATTAACTGATTGTCTGTGAATAGTTTGTGAGCTCACGTCAACTTCTCGCTATCGTATCACAACTGTGATGATGGTAATATGAAGAATAAGTTTCCACTGAACTACCCTACCACAGAGGTTGCTGTTTCAGTCTGATGTCAAACAGCTTTGTTAGTTTAAGTCAGTGGAAATAATTTCATCGCATCACACTATGACAGAATTTCAGTTGACGTGTTAAATATACACAAGTAGTGAACCGTCAGCATCGGCGGACAATAGAATTTGTCATAGTGATTTCAAAATCTTCATAAAGTGTCGGTGGACGAAACCGAATTGACCGCTGGACAATAAAGTCCTTCATATCACAGTATATGCTGTCTACCAATTTTGGATAGCAGACAGCTCTTACCACAACACTATAAAATATAATCAGCAACGAAAGCATGAATGCATAGAACCAACTATATACTAACCTCGCCTAGTTAACTAGCTCAATAGTTTTCTAGCCTGCTCCAAGCCTGGAAAGAGAGGGAGTGTTTGCCTCAGCTCAGAGAGCGTATCAGTTCAAACCAACTAATTTCTCGAACTAGCAATACCTCAAATCAAACTCGCTAATTGCAAACTACTTAGTCCACAAATGAGCAAGAATACTGTCCGGTGCTCAGATCACCAGTCACCACTGGGTGATGTGAGTGGTGCTCACCTACTTATCTCAATGAGTCGGTATTATTCATTTTTCTGAAAATGTTTCTGCTGATTTCATGAATTTAGTTATCATTGTCTGCATTCGGTAAAATATATGGAGACACATTGTGAATGACGGAATCGATGTCAGCACTTGGTGCGACGAAAAATTTGGTAATTAAGTGAATTTTTTGAAGTATAGCCCTTCACTTATGTCTCTGTTTTGACAGAGCAAGTGGGAAACACGTGAAAAAATGAAGCTTTGTTCACTCTCATTGTCAGATACCGTCAATTATGTATATACTATCTATCTACCATGGTAATTGGAAAATACGCTCTTCGCTAGTGTAGAGTTTTGATGATTTCTCTAAAACACTTCATACGACTTTACACACGAAAGTGATCAGTACGATCAATAATTCAAATCCAGTTGGAATATGTGAATCCTTTGGTGATAGTCAGGCTAGTTTGTCATGAAAGTGTTTGTATGTGCTAGGCTGAAGTCACTGCAGTCATGTGATGAAGTGTATGCGCTTGATTTATTTAACAGTTTCGGATTGTTTTGTCAACTAATATCAATTAAACACTGATATGATTTCCTGTTTCATATTACCACATAGCTAACGGTTCGTATTCTACGAACGATACTCGGTTGACTACTGCTCGTAAATTCTACAAATCCTGTGTGAACCATGAAAATATTTCTCTCCAGCAGGCTAGAAGACAGACAACTCATTTGATAGAAAAATCATTTGGCGGGTGGGATTTGTTGCCGTCTTCTTCTCAAAATCAATTGAAAACATCAACGCAAGAACAAAAAGTTGACGATTTCAGTTTAAGTGATTTATACTTTCCAATTCTGAGCATAACAGGGAGCTGTCCTTTATTTTCCATTGATATTAATGGGGGAAGCAAGATGATTCAGGTAAGCAAGCTATATGATTAATACTAATTTGGTATTTCATGATGATACATCAACTTGAGAAAGAGTGAGAATTTAATCTACTTGCCAATTCAGAGCTATTTTCCCCTGCTACATTTATGGTGTGCAAAGGCACACACGATAGGTCTGCATCTATTGTTGATTGTTAGAGTGTAAGAAAGGACTGCAGACATAGAGATGCCGAATACTTTCAGCGGAATCTTCATATTCGAATACTGCTGCAATGTATTAGCAGATGTCTGCAGAGTAGTACTGATGGTAATTATTAATAAGTCATTCCTCACCACAGTATCTTTCTATGCAGAATCCTCTATTTCAACTGATGTAAACTTCTTTTGGATTCCATATGCCGACACAGATCTCTCACTCTCGGTGTCTGCATTTCCTCTGATGGGTAAAAATGACAGTGAATTACAATGATAAAGAAATGGTGACTAGGAGTGTGATTTCATCATTCTCATTCAGTAAATCGAACATTAAGTTTGGATTAAAAACGCTGACTTCTAATTGAGCAAGAACAGCGGTTTGTTTGGGGTAATTTGGTGTCATCGTTTAATTCATTGGTTTCTCTTCACCGATCACGGAAATTGTTTACATATTTGAAAAGATGTCATGATGTCAATTAACAGCAGACATTAAAATTCACAAGCACCACTGAGAACTCACATTTGCTTGCCTTATACACAGAAGGTCCAAGATTAAACAAAAGAAAGTCTATAGAAATTGATTTGTCCGAGAATTATTACCACAATCCACATAGAAGTTTTTTTGAAAAATTTAGTCTTTCACACAGGCAAACGCCAATAACAGAAACTGTCCCTAATTCACCTGAAGAAAAAGAGTTCGCCTGGTACAAATTAGTATTTTGGCGGAATTCTACATACTGTATAATTGAACAGGATCTCGTCATTAACTGAGTCTATAAACATCTTTAGAAATTAAATTTGTCACTTTTCAGAAGACGGAAGGTGTTTCAGGGGTGAGTCGATGAAGTCAAAGCGAAGCTGGGCATAGGCACAGCTTTCAGAAAAACAATAGTCAAAGTTAGAGTTTTGATGTGCCTAAGAGAATTTATTTCTTACCTACATGCTACTATTGTCAGTTTAATTAATTCTGATGCATGCCATAGCAGCTGTGAAAAAGAATATTCTTTAAAATACTGGTTGCTTTAGATTTCAGATGGAAAATTCGCTTCGTATAAGGACGCTTGTGAAACAGAGGTAATTCCAAAAATGTTCTTTAATTCTATGAATACTAATCAAATAGGAAGAAGAATATCATTTTTGTGCAAAAAAGTCAAAGTTTAATAATAATGTATCAACCAGTGTTATTGATTGGTCCGAATACTCGTCACTTCGCAAATTGAACATTTTGTGATTACTTTCAGATGAAATCCACTCTTTAGTCACTCTCGCCAACTGACTGTGAATAAAATGATGTCTAAATTACTTCGATGACACTGAATGACTTGACTTACACCAGATGACTTGAGATGACAAGTCAGAGTAATCTCCAATATGGAAGGCGAATGGCTCATCATCTTGTGGTCTGGACATTTCTGAGGTTCAACATTGATTGCTCTCGAACATTTCATAAAATGCTGAAAACATTAGATTTCAAATTCCTCACAGGAATCTGGTGATGTCTGACTCGGTCTACATGAATTTACGCTAGTTAACGTCAGACGACTTACGCTATAATATCCAAGCTTAATCGAAAACGATGAAATGAATACTTTTGTCAGTCACACCGTAAAGTTGCTACTGCAGCAAAAGTAGATGAAATGTAGCATTTTATCACAAGTGAATTCATACTCATTTTCAAGTGGAATTTTCATTTCTCCAAATTAATCTGGTCTTTCAATGTGATTACCAAGTTGAAATGAAAGAAGTCACTGAGATGCATGCATCAATGAAGGAATCTTTGAAATTGTGATGCACTTACTTCACTTAGTTGTGCACATCACAGTAATTAGAGTACTCACTGTTTGAAGAAGTACATACTTTTGCTTCAAATGACATACTTATCAATTTACCAGAATTACCAACGTCATCACACATCTTTAAAACCAGTGAAATCTGTCGACTCATTATACACATATCATAAACGTAACTGTACATGCTAAAGAGAATAAATTAAAATTTCACTGAACACAGTGTATTTATTCCTCGGAAACTGCGAGTTCCTTTGACCATAATGATAGATACAATACAATTAAAATGGTAATGGCTTCATTCTGAAAAGTGCATTTTGACACAATACAGAATCCTCAACACCTTTCATGGAAAGGTATTTACTCCTTGTGCAGAATCTTCAAATAATACAATAACCGATAATATGAAATCTGAAGCTGTATCGTCCCACCCGAAGCATACTCTGATACAAATCCATGACACCATTCTTTCATTTCCTACAAAAAGAATCCGCAGAGATTGGCGAGAACTTGCTTGAAATTGTACATGAGCATAGACTTCAACTCTTTGTGATAATTGAATGAGTAAAACATTATGAAGCGGAGCGAGTACAATTCAATTTGATGGATAGTAAATTTAGCTAATCCAGTGATTCAGACAGGCCTCCTTCAGATATAACCACTTCTACTCATTTCAGTATGAAATATCAGAAGAATATAGATTTTGTAGTGTCATACACATAGATACGTGTCTGTGGCACAGCGGTTAGGACTCTAGCCGGCCATGCACATGGTCCGAGGTTCAATCCCCTGCCGACGTACACCTGAAATCATTGGTCGGCCTGCAGAATTTGGGCTACTGAAATCACATGCTGAAAATCTCATACTTGTACAGAAAATACAGTGTTGAATCAAACCAAATTCAAAAAAAAATAAATAACTTCCCAGAGTTGGTTTGTCAACCAGCATTTCTGTGTGTCTCTTACGAAAATGCCTTGAAATTACAAGAGAATAGTTTTCCCTGGTGTTCTTCATTTCACATGGTATAAGAATTCCTGAATATTTTCATTCATAACATTTTCTCTGAACAGGTGAATGCTTCAAATATCGCTCCAAAGTATTACGAATATGCCTATAAACTGGGAGTATCTCCAACCGAGAAGAGCAAGTTGCAGGCTGCTTTTGAATTGCACACACGCTTGTGCCATGTAAGTTTTCTGTTAACCCTGCAACATTAACATAGCTATGCATGGTGACAATGAAATTTTGTATAAATGTGAATTTCAGTTGGTAGTATATACGATTGCATATTCGATTAAAATGCAAATTGTTTAGCTCAAAAAATAGCAGTGTGATGAATGTCTAAACTCACTATGAATTAAATAAATCATCAATCGAATTTCCGATTTAGTCCTGAGTGCCCTTGTTTACGTCTATCGGTATTCTGTGCATTCTGACCACCAGACCAAGTCATGCAACCCAATTGTGAATTATCACTGATCAGAATTTCAGATAGAAGGTTGTGCGTGTCAACAGACATGAGATTTACTACTTGAGCTCATGATATTTTCTATAAGCTCTGCTTAAATTTAATGTGTTGGCAAACAAAATGACACCTGCATTTCCTAGATGGAAAGAAGAATTTGCTTGAATAGAGTCCTTTTATGGCCATATTCTACTTCAAAACAGTGGTAGCTTCATCATGACACATTTCATCATTACACCTTTCAAATAAGAGAAATTACATTTATTTTCAATGTGATACTCTTATTAATGTCGGAGCGTTAACGCCAACAAAGTCTAGTCACAGAATGTTTGTATCCACAAGTAAATGGTGAAGGAAGTTAGCATCACTTAACATTCAAGTGCAGTGTGACAGAAAATCGCCATGGAATACATGAGTTGATCAATGTATTTATTCCATGAATGCTGAAAACGAAGAGTATTCAACGATTATGAATCAAGTGGAGGGATCATACCTCATTTAATCCCATCATATTCACAACTGAAATGTAAAAGTGCATTGCGAACAACAGAAAGCACCGTGGGGGGATCCTCTCAAAGTCTGTTTGCATACCTATTCTGAAATGATAGTGAAGTAAGAGATTTCGTTTCATTGCCTTCACTGCTAAGCTGTTAATTGTTCTATCAAGGAAACATGATTTGATTTCATCAATATTTCTAATAATTTTCCAGAATCTGTATTTTGCGAGGAAATCTGACCTTACTGAATATAATAAAGTGGTAAAAATAAATGAATTGAAGGCAATCTGTCCATTGGTAAGTAGGTACAGCCAATTTATACATTTCCGGTATTTCAATGTACTTACTTTGATTTTCCTATATTTTACAATGCCAACTCATTAGGTAGGAATGTCATGGTTGAGGTCATTTATAGACAGAAACATTGAAATAAAAACGGCAAATTGCTGAGCCTGTCTTATGAGAGAATACATCTCTGAAAATACATAACAAGCCATTCATTTCACAAACTGTATAGACTTCTAGCATCAGATGATCTTAATTTTGCGAATGTGGATATCAAATTGAACCGAGTGAATGGTGAACTGAGATTCATGCAGCCAGTGTAACATGCGTATACTGAAATGCATAGTTACATTTATGTATAGGGAATTTACGTGATTCAGTGCAGAATTCACATGAAGCACGCAAGGCGATGAAATACTCAAACTGGAGGAATTTCAGATTTATTTGAATTCGGGTCAGCTATCATTGTTGACTATCCAGTTCTAAAGGAATCATAAACACCAAATAGACTAGCTGGAAATGTTGCATGACATGTGTGTGGTGTCAAGCTACCTACATATGTCAGTGGTATCTGACTTCTTGTGGTTTAGCTTTCTTCATTTATTTGTGCCCGTAACCGTGTCATGCAGGTGACGTGTTTCGATTTAAAGATTCTGGATTATGCGATTCTGAGGAATTCCAGCTCATCTTAATACATTTCACTATTTCAAATGACTTCAGATAGCATATAGTGCCTTCAGTAAAAGAAATTGAAATAATCTACACCGAAAATTCAAAACAGATAAGCCAATGTTAGGACAGAATGCATAATGGAATCAGTCAAAGTATCCTGCACTTAGTAGTCACATAGTTGATGAAAACACCTCAGGGGTAGGAAACTTTCATTCAACTGTGCAGAATAATATTGATTGAAATTAAGAAACAGATGGATTTGGAAAATCTCAGATCAGTAAATGAATTTGGTAATCTGAGAAACAGTGCATAGTTGTTTCTTTAATGTCATAGCACCACAATTCTTGTCTGAAATGATAAGGAAAGATGCTTAGAAGAATTTCAACTCGGAGACCATCGTTTTCTTTGAATATTTCCTAGAACACTGTCAGTACAGCAGCCTGGTTTAGTGATGAAACAAGATGAACTGTCTAATCTTAAATCAAACTTAGGCTGAAGAAACCTTGCTTTCAATTTCCTTGTGCGACTTAACATTGCTTCAATTTATGTTCACTAGTCTTCCGTCAAATTTCACATCATTTTCATTAATTCTGCTGAATTCATCAAGTGTTTGTTTTTCTTCTACATTCATGTTAAGATTGATTGGAAAACGTTGTTTGCAAAATTGTTTCGACAAACTGGATCCAGAAGTTACAGCAAATTTTCAATAAGTATAGCGGACACAACAGCGCTGAAACATCAGTGTGCCTTACATGAAATTGAACTGTTAACGCCTACTGGCAAAAGGTAAGTTTCACATTACTGCCACTGAATAGGGTTGAAGAAATATTTTGTTAAGATATGCTCTACTGTACACAGTGTGGCTTCTCCTCTTACTGTAAAGTGAATTAAAAACTTGTTTTGTCTGAAGACAATAGAAATATATTAAAATATTCTGAATTTGGTCACGGACTAATATCGTTTAGAGGAGCATAGAAAACCTGGACAGCTGTTTCGCACTTGTCTGATACTACTCATCATTACGTAACTAGTAGCATAACGAAACATCGTATAACCATGGAACATCAGCTCCGATTAATGAGTCAAAGATAAATACGTCTCAACAAAATCATTCCGACTTGATATCTTCTGTATTATTCCAGGATGTTCAACCACTTTCCATGCACACACTGACAAGTCGAGATATTCTTGACTTTGTCACATACTTTTCCGCTGTCCAAAGAAAGAAGCATACGATACTTGAAGTTATATGCAATACGTATATAAATTGCATAGCTGAAACTGAATCCCAATATTTACTTCTATTCCTTTTCGACAGTGCAATTCAGAATATGGCTGTCATGGACTTCATGACATATCAGGATACCACTATTAAATCTGTGAAAAAAAGTTCAGAAAGTGCGAATCCTGAGGTGGACCCACGTACGTTACGACTATGGTTTACATCTGTTTATAAATTAAGTAAATCACCTTTTCAGTGAAGATGTCATTTATTTTAGGATTGATTTGTGTACATTATTCTTGAAACATGTTGTGGTAGAAGTCGATGGTGCATGTGTGATATCTTACTGACTCGTTAGTTAAAAGTCATTCGCCTAACGTGTTTCAGCTTGGCGTATATTTCAAAACATTTCTGTGTCTTTGTTTTTTATTCTGATTAGGGCTGAGTCCGAAATTCTCAGTGTTTTGTATCGAGCGGTTGAAAGAAGCATTTCCGTGGACTCTTGAAAGACATTACGTTGCTCAGTACTTAAAAGAAAGTCAGAGAAATGAGGTTAGTTGTTTAATTCATTTTTAGTTGCTTTTTGCATCTATTTGAGCCACAGTTTTCGAGATTACTTTCCCACCTAATAAAAAGCATCATGAAAATTAGTACTTATAACAGGTTCGCAGAAATAAGGATTTTCTGTCCATAAATGTTCGGAGCTTACTGTTTCTAATTTAACCTATTTATTTATTTCGTGTCATGTGTCAAGTGATGAACAATGGAAAACTCATTGAATTCTCTGAAGAGGAGACAGGACTAGGATTTGTCTGATTACAATCCCCGCTCACATTCGTTACTGTGTTGGACCGGATTATCCTGGCAACTGCATATGAGGGACACAAGGAGATAGGAATACGTTGGACTAGTAAGAAGACTCCAAATGACCTTGATTCAGCGGATAACTTATGTCTAATGTCACATAAACTCAAAGACTTAAAACATAAAGCTGGCAGGAAGGAGGAATGTCAAGTGAGCATGGAGAAAACAAAAGTGATGAAGATAATCAACTGACAACAACAAAAATAATAAGCTCCAGTCACTATCTACGGCAGCACTTTGAGCAAGTTAACTCCATACACTTATCTAGGAAACATCGTTTCAACGAAAGACGAAGCGAATGAAGAAGTTGTAGTTAGAATCGCGGATGTAAAGCACACCATCACCACTATGAAATCAGTTTCGAAATCTTTTGCACTCCACAGCATGAAGGACGAAATTCGTATTTTCAGCACCATTGTTATGTCAGTCAGGGAGTCACTTCTTCTACTTGGATCAGAAAATTGCTCTGCGAGTCATGAGAGGAATTCCTAACAGGTTACTGCAGATTTTTATCAACAGCTGTCTTTTCTGGTTCCATATTGCAGATAAGACAGCCGGCCAGAAATAATTATCATCAAGGAATTTTGGGAACGCACCAACCAAGAACCCGCTGCTCCACAAATATTCTGAAGAAAACGAAGATGGTTGGTTATACAAAATCAGGTTGGTTACACCATAAAGAAACGAAAAAGGATAATCGCAGTGATGAATCATATGGGTGTTAAGAAATTCCGATTGGATACCATCTGATATCTGTCATGGATAAGGAGTCATAAGGGATCTATTACAAATATGCATTGGTAAGAGAAGACGAGCAAAGTGATTTTCCAGGGCAATGTATGGAACAGTCTTGGAGTGCTTTTAAAGAGGAGGAAGTATGGGTGGCCAAAGCAGTCTGTTAATGTTGAGTCTAATCAGGTAACACGAAGATGTGATCAACAACTGACATCGTTATTTGAATTTAAGAAAATGTTTCTTTGTTTCACATTTACCATACGACTGTCAGTCTATCCTTCAGGAGGTTCGCTCCTAGCCAACACTTCTCATAGTCTTCTTTCGTTACTCGGCCGACAAACTGTCCCCTTCACAGTTGGAATGTTTGAAACAAAGAGTTTTATGATAGAAGATAATTAGGCGAAAACTGACTTGTCATATCGCATATAAGTGAGGTGCCTCCATTTATATTGTGCGCATTTATACTTCCTTTTGAAGATACCTTGTTACATGCCGACTTTCTACAGTTGAAATTTAAGAGCATTTTCAAAATTCACTGTTTGTTGTTCGGAAAATGCGCCATCCATCTACATATTAACACATGTGTAGAGTTTAATTCAGCGGCTTTGAAAGGAAAGTAATATTAAAAACCTGACAAGCTGACACCAGTTAGGCAGTCTTTGAAAACATATTTATGGAAGGCACTTGTGATACATGCTAGGCAGGTTAACATAATAATTTTTTCTGTTGATCGATCGCATGTAGTATTAATATTCTTTTGCAAGTCGAATGGAACATAGAGCTTCAACAATACATCTCCACTTTGTTCCATTCTCTGCTGTCCTCCTCAGCTGGGTCCGCGATTGCCCATACTCTCTCGATTACCACAACCTAAACGACCTCTTCCATGTCACTCTAGCACCGAAGACCAACTCGTTGCTTCTCAGTGGGATTCCACTCGATCAGTGGCCTGCAATAAGCATGATGTCATTTGACGGCCGCCTCAATGTATGCCTGATCCATCTCCATTTTCTTAGAAATATCTTAGAAGATAAAGATCTTATTTGGCTTGTTCCCAGCCAGAATTTCTTGTTGCTCATTCTTTCTACCAGCTGGCCATTTGATCTTCAGTATGCAGGCAGCGAAGGAGGTAACTGTTGCTATAGTTCTGAAGTAGCCTGCTGGAAATCCTTCTCGTGACACGCTGGCAAAATTTGCGACCTGTATAGAAGAAATGATTTTACATTTGTGTTGAAAATCCTAATCTTGTTCCTCATGCTGATTCAGTGCACAAGATTTCTTGACCGGTCTCAGGTTGATGAAGGCGTATCTTTCCTATGCGAATCTGGCTGGTTTTGACATCTTCATCCATGCCATCCGCTTATGGTTGAAACCATGCTTCCTAGATAAGTGAAGGAGGTAACCTCTGTCAGATCTCTCCCGTTGGTGGTGATTGTTAATGGTTAATGTTGTTGTGGTTCGTTGGTGAGCTTCATCACCTCCTTCGTCTCTGTGTTCACCTGCAGTCCTGTATTCGCTGCCAGCTTCTGTTGTCTTTTCACTTTCCACAGTCTCTGACATAATCCATCCCACCACAACTAGGAATATCATCATCGGTGATGATGGGCTGGCAGCCTTCTCTTACCCCTGCATTCACTTCAAGCGCCTCACTGGATTTTCCGTTGTAGATCACCTGGCACGTGTCGTCGTCATATAACCAGCTGTAGAATGAAGTTGATAAAGACTTGGGCAATGTGACGCAAAGTGTCGAGGTAGTCTGCAGATTACTTCCCGGTGAACGTTGTCTGTCGAAGGCATTTTCGAAGTCGATGAGTGCGTTTGAGGTAGAGGTTTGACTGCCATTCTATGCTTTGTTCTGTGATGACGATGCGTACTGTTGCAATTTGATCAGCACATAATTTTCCTTTCCCGAATCCAGCTTATTCTAGGTGGGCGGAGGTCTGTATCCATTGCATCTCTTATTCTCTCCAGGATTATGTGACTTAGTATTTTACTTGCTGTGGACAAGAGCGAGATTGCTCGTCAGTTCTCGCAGAGATAGGCGTATTAGCCCTTCTTTGGAAGTTTGACGAAGTAACCCTTCTTCCAATCAATATACACATTTCCTTCCTTCCTAACCTTTTGCAATAATGGTGGGAGCACATTTGATGCAGTCTCTGGGTCCGCTTTTGGTGTTTCAGGAAGAGGTGGACGCGGCCTGGTCCTGCAGACTTCCTGGCATTCAGGATTTCTTCTCTCGTTGAGGGAGTGATGTCCTTCGACAGTTGTGTGCGTGCTGTCAGTAGTGGTGGTATTTCTGGTCGAGTTGCCGGTGGTTGTCGATTCAAGAGTCGTTTAAAGTGATCAGCACATTGTTTTATCTACCTCCTCTCCTTGCTAATCAAGTTCTTATGATCACCTTTTATTGGTTTCATCATCTGGATTGACCTCTTTCCATGTGGAGACCGGGTTATGTGATATAATGTTCTAAGGTCTCACTTACCTGCGGTCTGCTTGCCTGTTCTGCATCGGTTGCCGGCCAGTGTATCATAGAATTGTCTGTCGCCTTTATGAGCACTGGACTTGAATAAATGTGTGCATTTAGCTCTATCAAGGTTGTGTTTTGTCTTGAACATTTATTAATAATCTATGATGAGCAGTGACACTGATGATGTGAGTGAGAATGATTGTGGAACACTCATCTGTGAATTCATAATACGCTGGATCTCGGACATTAGAATGAGCTTAACATCTTTCAGCCTCTCAAAATTCTCTGCCAATAAGTTAAATGACATTTTTTCTAGACTGTGGGAATAATAATAATTATTGTTTTTATTTCCTATGTGTTTCCGGTGGAATACAGTGCTTCAAGTTTGAGTTCTTAAGTTCACGTAGTAGTAGTGTTGTGTTTTTCCGAGGTGAGTTTACTAGCCTCACTCCTGAAATTCCCTCTTTTTGAGGCCTACTACTGGAGTGCTTCAGCCATTGACTGAACTCCGGATCTCTTGAGTGATTGGCGAACAGTTCAAGAGTGAACCACCGATACACACAAAAATTAGTATTCATCACCAATTCGTATTTAGTAACAGATCCAACTCGTATGCTACACTTATTGTGTTTTTTTACTCATCTCAAAACACAGGTTCTCAATATGGTTAATGAGATCAAGAAGACTTTGTATGATTCATTTGAAGAGCTGGCATGGTTGAGTGACGAATTGAGAAACTTTGCTGCTGACAAGGTTTGAATTTATTTGACTGAAATTGTATTTAATTAATTTAACAAAAATAAAACTTACAGATTTCGTTGATAGAAACCTTCGCTTTGTTCGATGGTGTGGAAACATATGAAGAGAAAGAAAATCTTTCTACCATATATCGAGTAAGTCAGACAAGGCGGTTCATGTTTTCTACTAAGTTTCATTAAAACATGAACTATTCTCAATAAGTAGATCGCAGTGGGACACCTGTTCCACTGAGGAATATTAAATCAACGACAGAGTTTATCTTATTTGTAAATTACTTAGTATATTGAGTTTGACATGAATGTATTGGCTGCAATTCAAAATTCCAGTGGATCACTGTTTACCCGAACTGACAATCATACTAACTTACGATCTGTGATGGAATAAAGCACGTGTACTTGAAATTCCCGGATAATAATGAAGATATAAATGCTTAGCTGAAGGTGTAATTGTTAATTTCCATAAAACTGCTAATATCAAGTGCTGATTCATTGTGCACCGTATGTACATGCGTCTAACCTTGTAAGTATACAAAAGGGAAACTGATTTTTCCTCTGGCCGCCTCAGCCGCCTTCTTTTGGATTATGCAAAGTAGATTTTGTTCAGCACGCATTACGATGATTAGATGATACTTATTTCATGATTAAATTTAAACAAAATCGTGAAATGAAATGTGTAAATTGTCCAGTAATTTTCTCAATTTCATGAAGTAGAGAAACTGGAGAGCACTTCTTCCTGACTGACTGACTGACTCGATGAAAACTAAAAATACCACTGGTTATCACCGACAAATGACCACTGGAAGACAACACTGAAGACAGACTTAGAAAGCAGAATTTACTATTCGTCCAGGAAGAAGGCCAGTATAATATGAAATTGCTGCCATTTATCTCGTTACTTCCAGTGATCAGTGCCTTACAAGTTTAGTGCACCAGAGTGGTTGCCAACAATGCAGCATGATATGAATAAAAATCCAATGATAAGGCATTCGACGTAAGCTGAGACCCGGATATTTGCAACTAGACCGTAGATGTTATGGACCTCCTAGAATAATTTGAGCGTCCAGTTAGACTGAGATAATTTTAAGTAGTTTATAAGACCAGTATATTTAGTTGATACACTGTATGTGCCTCTTCTCCGTCTTAATACGTATACACTTGGATATCTGTGACTACCCGTTAATCACATTCTCACAAGTTATTCAAAAATTATATTCACATTTTACTGTCTTATCTAACTTTTCGAAACAGTTACGGTATCCAATTAGTGAAGACACCTACATTCTAAATGAGAATTACGCTCTCAAGGCAAACGTGCTCGACACTTATCGAAAAGCAATATTTGGTCTGGAAGCAAAGTAAGCTTTTAATATTTTATACGCATAACTGTGACTGTAGAATCTCTAATAAGCTAAATAAAAGGAGCAGCCTCCAGAAAAAGTAAAACTGCTGTACAATCGCATATATACAACGGTTAAGACTCTCGCCAACCATGCACATGGCCCAAGGTTCGATCAATCGCCGACGCACACACCTGTTAAATTTGGGCTACCAATATCACATGCTGAAAATTTCATACTTGTACCAAAATACTGTGTGGAATCAAGCTGTAATAATATATATATATTACATTATCATAGCAATAAAAGTAATGTTTCCAAAGATTAATCGTCCTATTTGCAAGATTTCGCTCGAAAACTGTGTAACACTTAGAGTAGTCATTGGGCAAAAAGCTTAGTGAAATTTGATAAGTTGGGCGACATGCCATAATATAGGTGTTTTAGTACAGCTTAGCTGAAATGATCGACGCCAAGTGACATATTAAGTTGTGTTTTCTTGGGGAAAATGAATTATCCCTTGGATGTGGAACTCCGACTGGAAGAGGCTGGATTCAGGAGGAGCAAAACATGTTCGGATCAAATTGCAACTCGACGAAAAAGAACACAGAATGGCAGTGAACTGTCATCCTTTAATGGCGGCCTGTTTGACACCTGGGCTACCTTTCGTACATCTACATATTTGCATCTACCTCAAAATTATCCAATTTGAAGAGGTCTTCGATAGACAGCAGTGACCGTGGAGCGCTGTAGAAACCACTTCACCACTGGAGTGTGCAGGACCCCAGACATTTTTTCAGCTTCATTCAACAGCTGGAAATATAACAGTGCGACGTGTCAGGTGGTTCACAACAGATAGCTCAACGAAGGCTCTGAACTGAGGACAGAAGTAAGACAAGAGTGCCCAACATAATCACCAATTATATTCTTCCTTCCAATGTACTAGATTATGCAAGATTCTGTTAGTCGGGAACGGAAAGCCAGGAAAAGGTGAACTTATAATAAAACTCTAGGAGACCTGGACTACCCGTATGATTAATGTCTAGGGTCACACGGACTCAAAACTCTACAGCAGAAAACCAACTGAAAGGCAAAAGATGCATCACAGATGCGACTTCAATTGGGCATAGGAAAGGTGAAGGTGATGAAGATAATCAGCTGACAACAAGAACAACAAGCACCAATCACCATCAAGTGGGGAAATTTAAAAGACGTCACTCCCTTCACTTATCTGAGAAGCATTGTCTCAACTAAAGACCAACAGAAAACAGTTTGGATTCTTAACACCAATGTTATGTTGGTCATTCCTTCTACACAGGTCAGAAACTTGCACTGCTCGTCATGAGAAACATTTCCAACAGGATACTGCAGACTTTAATGAACATCTGACTTCTCCTGGTCTTTATTGGAGGTGAGAATAAAAATAATTACTAGCAGTAAGCTCTGTGAAGAAACTAACCATGAAGTGGGTGCTCAACAAATATGCAGTACGAAAAGGAGATGGACTGGATAAATAAATGAGGAGAGCATCGAATGACGCCGTGCACTAGACCATCATTCGAGTTGATCCTGAATGATAAACAACAAGTTGGGCTGAGGTTGAAATGCAGGCAATCGTATGAAGAGGAGATGAGATACAACAGACAATCCTGGGGCCAGCTGCAGAGGATCGGCTGAAACAGGACAAATTGGAGATCTGTTGTTGAATGCTTAGGTTCCACGCGGAACACAAGAGAACAATAATAAGATAATAATAGCCAAAGTTGAAAGAGGGTCAAATTATCACCAGCCTTATGAACAGTAGTAATGTACTAGTGGGAATAGAGAAACAGAATAAATTTTGTTTTTTAATATCAGAAAATTACGATTAACAAACACTGAGTACTAAGTGTTGAGACAAATAAGTTGAGTATTTCAAATATGGATTGTCATAGCTTCTGCAGTCTGTGTTTCTTTTTCAACTATTTCCATATGCTCTGTGGATAACTCTGGGATTGATTTGCCTGTTCGCTCAGTGTCAAGAATCCTCTGAGTGTTGCAGAATACAGCTGAGGAGGTCGAAGTGATATAAACGCCTGAAGACAGTTTTGCTCATTTGAGGTGGCACTCATAAACAGTGCACCTAATTTGACTCAGCACTGAAAGGCGTAGCCATCTGAATTTCTGGCGGGACAATCGCATGGACTGGCATCAAGCAGATCATATATAGTGATGAGGGCGATTCTGGTTTCTAGGAGAAACTGAAGTGAAATTTGATCTGCAGCTTCACAATTGTCAAAATGCTGAATGTTGTTTATTGCTAATTTGGAAGTGGATTCACGTAACATGTCACTTGTCTCCTGAGTTATTTTAAATTCGTCACTTTGTCAGAAACAATCATACATCTGATGAAATTTTATTTTTATTCTCTTTGCACAGATTGGATGCGCAAGAAGCAACCTATATACCGTCAGCCTCCTATTGGCCCACTGGAAACCGCATATCTATTAATGGCGCTATTATGAATCTACCGATTTACCACGATGATCAAACAATTTCCGAAAAATATGGGGGATTGGGTTGGCACATAGCTCATGAATTATTGCATGCTATTGATACATCCGGTACTAAACGAACCAAAATGAGTTTTCAATGAAGTTGTTAACGTACCTTTGTTGTCATGTATTAAACTGATAAACAGTTTTAGGGAAAATATCCCAGGTTACAGGCGAAAATTAAGTTGATTCCCTCATTCAAAGCGCTCGTATTTTCGTGATCTGGTTTCAGTGAAATTAGGGTCATCATCTCCAATGTGGTAATTTGAAATTTAGTAGAAATGTGACTTTCTGTTGAACCGCTGGAAATGTTTATTCTTTCAGATTGATTTCTCTTAGTCCCTTAACTAATATTCGTTCAATTTCGGAGACTGACATAAGACTTCAAGTATGACGCTTGAACCATCATAAACAGTTAGTTTACAGGGTGACTTCACTAGGCTTACATCCAACCTTTCTTCCCTACCTCACCACTAACTAGGCGAAGCTTAGGAGTGCATTGGGGTCTAGGAATCAGACTCTCACCGGGAAGGTGGGTGGTGAGCCTTTTACGATTGAACCACTGATACAGCTTCGTTTTTTCATTGATTATATATTGAAAAGGAGTTGTATTAGTTCACTGAGTGCTTCACTGGAAACTTGAAGATTTCACTAGCTGTTCTCTGCATTGATGCAACTTAGTTTTGCTCAAATTCACTGAAAAGATATGACTGCCTGAATTATTTTGTAGCCTCAGGTGTGACTTATTGGTGACTATCTCAGCTTCATCAGTAGAGGTATTAGAAGTGTCAATTGACATTAATATTACTGTTATATTTATTATTAACTTAGGTTACGAGTGGAACATAGGGTTTCAACAGCACATGGTGCACATCTCCTTTAACTGGCACCACGGTTTCCCAGATGCTTTTATCTCCTTTTCACACAGTCTCTTCAGTACCAACTTCGGACAGACGTCCAATACATCTTTTTGCATTTGCGATGCACTCGAGCAATGATCTGGCAGGTGATGCCATTAGATGGCCTCCTCAGTCTGCCTGAACGATCTCCGTTTAGTACTGAATATTTTTCTTGATTGTGGCCAAATTCCTCTTATTAACAACCTGGTCTTCATTATGGAGTCAGAGTAGCCAGCCTTGATCACAGTCTGAAGTATCCTATTGAAATTGACTTTCATGACTCTCAGAGCACATTCCTGATCCTTTTTGAAGAACCGACTCACCGACATTGGTGTTTAATGTACGAATTTCATCCTTCATGCTGTGTAGTGCATAAAATTTCAAAATTGATTTCAGAATGATGAAGGTGCGCCTTGGCCTTTCAATTGTGGCTTGTTCTGAAATCCTCATCCGTTCTGCTGACCTGTAGTTAAGACGATGCTTTCTAGTCATATGACAGAAATGACGTCTTTCAAATTTCTCCCGACGATAGTGATTGGTGCTTGTTATTTTTATTGTTGTCGGCTGGTAATCTTCATCACTGTCATCTGCTTTATGTCCACTTGAGATCACTTCCTCTCTTCCAGCGTCTTCTCCCAAATTGTTAGCTTTCACTGGTAAGTTTTTGAATTTTCGTGACGCCAGACATGAAGCGTCTGCGATGTTCAGATCTCCTAGAGTCTTCTTGTCGGTCCGACGTTATCTTGTCTTCTCTCTCCCTGCTCGTAGTCTTTCACATAATCCGGTCCACCACAAACAGGGATATCATCGGTGATTGCGGGTAGCAGCTTTGTCTTACTGCTGTCCTCACTCTAGAGGATTCTCTGAGTTCTCATTTCTGGATCACTTGAAATGCTGTATTCTCACATAGTTGTTAAGTGGCCAACATGGTTCACATTTTCTCTGTTTTATTCTGATTCAGTCTTTCACACTAACATTTTAACTGGTGTATTAAATTATGACTAGTATCGTCACCTCATTTGCGTTTCTTGGCGACTAAGGCAACTGTTTTCATGTCATTTCCTCCGTACAGCAGTGAATTTCAACCATTCCAAGGAGCATGTTCATATCACTGTCCTTATGGTGTATTCAGTAAAGTACAGTTCCATGTTAGATTCTATTGTCCATTCGGGTATCTAGCAAACAGAATGTTGATATCAATAAAATGCAACAAACTATGGAAGTTAGTCTAGTAGAGTAGACTTTTAACAACTTTTGAATCACATCGTAAACGAAAACTGCAATATCATGGTTAAAAAATACAACCTCAGAGAACATTCAAACCACAGCAAAGGGTTGTATTCGCTTGATGCACTCAACACGTTTCTCATCCAACCTGAAGTTACGAGCAAGTTTATCAACTCAAATAGACAGAAACCATCTTCTCGACTAATTCTCACCAATGCCATTTTCGGTAGGAGTGATAAGCCCTTACTAATGTGATGATTTTTCTAAGGAGGAAAGGACAACAGTAGGAGGGATTTGAAAATGTACCACTGTTGCATTTGATCTAATTGTATACAACTGATTATTAAGATTCATTGAAATT